CAAAACTCTTATTCTTTCCACAAAACTACCCAAAACGTCATTCTTCTTATAACTCAAAAGACATATTACTTTGCCAAGATCTCAATTTTCGAAACATCAAAACTCTGATTCTTCTCATAAGACTACTAGTATCTTTGAGTTCTGACTCTAACTCGCAATTCACAATCACTCAAAAGCATCAATAACACCCGACCATTACTTACCTGACTCCGACAACAACATTTACAATACATCATCACTATATCACCATTCAAAACATCAACATCATACACAATGGTAACTCAATAATGATAGCTTCACGATCAACTAATATTTTCTAAAACATCGTAATCATATGAGCTTCATCTTCCAAGAGCTATTCTACTTGCTTAGCTAATGTCCTCAGGGGATCATCAAGAAATTACACACCTCTTGTATATCACTAGTCGTCACATTGCTCTATATCCTCTGAGAAGAAACATTTAATAATTCTCTTTTTCCTTCAAAGGCTACTCTACTTGACCAACAAATAAGAACCTTGAATTCGTACAACCTTCAGGCATGCAAATCTACATCGACTCGCCAAAACACTTTGTAATCTCTTAGTTTAATTCCAGATAGTTCACCCTAAGGCTAACTTCAAGTTAATCCAACATTTTGCTCTAACACAAGTCGCAATTATCCTCCAGGAAACATCAAGACTCACCCACAATGGTCACATCATTAGTCATAAAATTTCCCTCCACTTCTAAAGATGCGAACAACACGAGTACCTGATCATCCCTCCTTAAGAACACTTTGTCTGACTGTTAGACTTAAATCCCGAATCCGTGCTTCCTTCAAAATTGCAAAAACAACACAACAACACTAACATCTGCATCCATGCACTTCACGACATGCTAAACTAATTATCCACACGTCAACCATCTCATAGAAGCACAAGCTTCTCCCCTACTTATTTCAATCTCACACCTGCAAACAAAAGATTAGAAAAGCAAGCAAGTATCGACAGTGTTTCACACACTTGTTGCGTACAAAGGAACAAACAACATTAGACAACTTGGTCGGAAGGACCGACATGCTTTGATACCAATTGTACCACCCTATTTCCCCTTCGGTAAATTATATAAAATCAAAGTAAATTAATTTCTAAAATACAACATAAAAATAGGATGTCACATACTTCATACATAATACATGCTCATTAATTAAGATACATAACACGAAATCATAAGCTTCAAGTCTTAAACTTCATTGTATCTTTTGCAACGGAAAACATTAATAATAATTATTCTCAACCCTCAACATGAGTGGTACTCTTTGCATCCAAAAATTAGCACAATCATAAACTAAATTCAAAAACAACGAAGTTATACAAAGTTTATTCCTAACATAATAAGACAATGCAAAACCCCCAAGTGATATGTATCAGAGTAGAACCGACTCAATCTATGCATCTGAAGGAACTCCTCAGCTAAACTTTGATATCTAGTTATTTCGGATCATCTGCACGTTAGCCACGTGGAGGTAACACTCAAACAAAAAGGGTGAGATATCATAACAATATAAGAGGAAGCATAATAATGAACAAGTAGAGATTCGAGTACACAATCAACACATAACATCCATCATAATATAATACATACTCTCATAAATATTCACCAATCAAATTATCAATCATAATTTGATGTAAAAGATCGACATTGACTTAATGTATGTGGTACCAATAGGGTAAAACCCTCTTCGCAATAATGACAATTTAGGGCAATCAACTTCGCTTGCCAATACAGGCCTTCACTTGCCAATACAGGCCTTCACTTTATGAATGCATGCGACACTGACATGCAACAAATTAATTTCATATTGATTATTCGTACCTATCAATGCCACGCCAATACAGGCCTTCGCTTATCATCATTATCATGCATATCATGTCACACCATCAAAACATTCATGCAACATTATCGTACTCAATCATAATACTAATCTCATTGATTCCAACATCATATTCATAACTTCTCAATTACATTAAACATCAGAATAAGCTAATACAGGCCACCAAGCATACATCATAGTACATACAACATCACGACATCGCCTCATCAAGAATTCTCTTCACATTCATTATTATATTCACAATTTCGCAATCACAACATAAATCGTTACATGTAAATCAAAAACACACCCACAGATAGGTATCAATGTTGGTGAAATAATTAACTATTTCATTATAAGTCATTTTTATAAGATAGGAAATTATGTTGTCTTTTCAACGGTCCACACAACGCGTCAAACAGACACCCGGGGCAAAAATTATGAGTTTTAGAAGTTTTCTAAAAATACTGTCACTAGCAGTGATAACCGGTTACCCAGTTATGGTAATCGGTTACCACAAGACAGTAACCTTGTTTTTTCCAAAATTCCTCGCGGTAACCGGTTACCCACTTACGGTAACCGGTTACTGCAAGTCAGTAGCTACTATTTTTGTAGCTTTTCATATGGTAACCGGTTACCATATATGGGTGACCCATTACCCTGCGATAACAGAGAAAAATTCTGCAATTTCCAGTTACGATCCTCCCACGTTTTAACACCCAAAATTCATCAACATGAAAAACCCCAAAACAACCAAATAGGGAGAAATCACAACACACAACCTAGATCCTACCATACCCCATCATTAGGCAACCCTTTATACAGTTAGAACCCCCCTTACCTTATATTTTTGTTGATTCTTGATCTCTACGGTGAAATCTCTTGCCCTAACTTCATAGTGCTCTTCTCTTCTTCTCTCTTCTATGCTTCTCTTTCTCTGTTTCTACGTACTAACTCTTTTCCCTTATTCTTACTCTAATATATCCCAATAATAATATAAATATCCCAATAAAATAATTATTTAATTAAATAATACCAATCCTATTATTCTACTAATAATTCTATTTTGATTATTATAAAATAATAGTAACCTCATATTTAACCCAAAAATGTCAATTATCACTTTCACCCTTATTTTTCTACACTTTTAGCCATACACCCCTATCACCTCAACTTATATAATTTCTAAGATAACTAATTACTAAAAAATGCATCACATCACATCATAAAATCCACCAACTCATATAATTACATTGCATCAACTAATTCACCATAATTCATATATTTACCAATAATCACCGATATTCATACTAAATTAATTAAATAATTAATCTAGATTTTTGGGATGTTACAGTACGTCTGCGCCTAATTCCAATGGAATTGGGATAATTCTTACTATGCAAAAATTTGATACAAGAGAAGTGTTAAAGAGCAACTCCATAAACCCTAATGCTTGTTTTTTATTCAACCCCTTATATCTTTTGATCATGAGAAAGATCAAGACACAATAGATTCCAATTGAGTTATCGATATTTCTACTCCTTTGCATTCTTTATCTTCAAAGCATTCGCGCACGAACGGTCAAATTGTCCCTATTGAAACACAAGACTTCAAGCATGATCTTCCTTTCTCTCGCTACTTCCTTTGTGTTCTTTATTTCCAAAGGATTTCACTTATCCACAATCACCTTTTTAATATCTTGCACAAAAACCCCCAAATCAATCAATGATCTTGGAGAACAAACCTGTGGTTTTTCCAGATGAATACCTTTACAATTCTCAACCTAATATTCTCGACTACACAAGAAACTAATCAGACATTATCAAACCTCGTCTAATGACACCCAACAAAAGATCGTTACAATGGAATGTTAGTGTGTATGCATAGATTGAAGGTTGGAGATGAAGAACAAATGTAGGATAATTTTATGGTATCATCAAGTTGGAATGATACATGAGAGATGTATTTATAGTTATTGAAATATTAGAGAAAAAGAGGGAAATTTAGAATAAAGAAAATAGAAAATTTGACCCTTGAAATAGTATGAGTCTGCCTGTAGCTTGGATGAGCCGGCTCATAGTGTTAATTTTAACAATATGAGCCGATTCGAAATAGCCTATGAGTCGGCCTGAAAAAAATAGAAGAAAACTTCTTATTTAGGACATTACATGTGCCGGCATGAAATGGCTATGAGCCGGCCTAAAACAAACATAGGCTATCTTATTATTTAGAGCAGTACATGAGTCATCCTGTAACGGTTATGAGCCAACCTATATGTGTATTTTTAGTGCAGGAAGTGATTTTTCAAGACTGGGTCAGTTTTTACTTTGTTTTAAATAATTCTTAAGACCTCTAAAGCATAAGGTGCCATCCAAACTCAGATATAGCACAATACACAAAATACTATATTATTGTATTTTTGACATAATGCAAAACATTTCTTGAGGAAAGTTGCACTCACATACTCCCTCTTTTTATGATGGCAAAACTGCGACGATGATGGCATTTTGTGTGTATTTGACGCTCCTATGACTATGTGCTTCACAACTTCATCTAGCATATCCTTCTCCCTCTTTGACAACATCAAAAATAGAACAATCATGCCATTAGAAATATCTAAGTTTTCCAGAAATATGAATACATCATACATAGGCACTTACATCTTGCATTATAAGAGTGTGCACTCACATACATCGATATATATGAAATGTAACTAGATGAAAAAAATAAAAACAAATAAAATACGAAAAATGCAAAACACAATATCCAAATTACATAAACGACATAAAGTACCAAGAATTCTTATAACACATAATATAAATTGTTCAACAAAATAATAAAAATAAATATGAAATGCATGAGTTTAAAAGAAAGCAACATCAAGACATTCAACTACATCAACAAACACCATTTAAACCATCAAGCCTCTAATAGGTTTATCCATATCTATGCATAGTGTCATAGAAGGCTTTTGATTCCTCATGATGCTCTGTAGCATAAGTCTGTAGGTTGTTGATTCTGATTTGAGTAGACACATTGCCTCTTTGGATGTCCTCACGAATCAACTTGAACTGTTCAGTCCCAGCGAACCCAAATATCTCAAAATTGGTTTCTTGAGCATTATGCCTCTCATTTATCAAATTGAATCATTTATTTTGAGCAGTCTCAAAATCAGCTCGCCATTGCAATTCCTCTTCATATCGCGGATTTTGTTGCAGCTGCATGTTTTGAAGCATGGTGACAACTTCAGAATTATTTCCTACATCATAATCATACTTTTTTTCTGAGAGCCAGATCCATAGTCATAAGTGCCACCTTTATATCCTCTATAGTCTTTACCTTGTTCAGTCCAAGAGTTATCTTACCAATGTCCACCCCATGGTTGCCCATGGTTGATCTATTGGGATGCAATAGCACTAAATCAAGCCTCATCATCTTCATAATCAGCATCTTCCATATGAGTGTCCTCTTGTGGTTCAACCTCAACATCCTCAACTTCATCATTCACATGATCTTCAACAGCATTAATAAATTCAGCAGGATCATCATAGTTGTAAATTTTCCTTTTTGAGCCAACTTCCAAGAAATAGTATACCCTTTGAACATGATCCCAATAGTACCTCAATTTTTTTATAGTTCTTTTGGAGAAATTCCAAATTTGCAGTAGGAGAAATATATGCCAAGTTTGGGAGTTAAATGTTGAAGGAATTGATAATCTTGGCGATCATCAATGGATAAGCGAATGCAGTCCCTTTGATGCAAACTTGGATGCTAAACATTCTAGCCATAAAATAACATTGCCAATTAATCTTGATTTTATTAAGAAGAAGATAGATAAGGTCTACCTCAGCCACATTAACTCTTGAAAAATCTTCACCTCTAGGGCACAAAATATGAGTGACAATCCAGTGCATTATACAAGGAAACCTCTTGAGACATCTTGTAGTGATGGGCTCATTGTTGTTAGCTACTCTAGGTGCCTTAAGTTGCTCATTTTAGTGAAATATCCATTGGAAATCATAATTGTAACTTGTATATTTGACCATAGGTTCATCACCTATAGTGATTCCCAAAATAGACTTCCACACATCTCTAGTAAAACAGTAGGATGTACCATATTGAAGATGAACTCACATTTGAAGCGCTTTGTCAGCCCGACATAAAACACCCAAATCATATATTCATTGTACTCTTGATCCAACTATATGAAGTGGTTGATCTATTGATGATTGATTAGACTTACAACCTCTGGAAGGTGTAGTTCTTCAGTTGTTCTAACTTTGTAGAAATTTTGTTTTTTCACAATTCTTCTGCGACATTTATCATCAAAGAATTCCTTATTATCTTCATCAAGAATATCAAACAAAGTATTTTCTTCTATGTTTTTTCCTTTTCCCGTGCCTCTACCTCTTGCAACCTTGGGAGCCATTGAAAATCTCTTCACTTAAGAATTGCACAGAAGGTGTTTGAAAAAATGTTTCAACCAAAGTTGTTGTTGAAGGATGAAAGATGTAAGAAGACACAAATCCCTACAATGATGAAATGATGCAAACACACAACAAATGCAAGTAAACACTTATGAATTTTAAGTGAATGAGGTTATGTAAGAGGCAAACTTGGATTGTGAGAGTTTAATGTGGAGAAATGGGGGGTTTTATGAGGAATTTGGAGAGAGAAGAAATGGGTTGAATAAGTTTTATGACACAAATGATGATGATAAGAAGAGTTTGACCAAAATTTTGAATGGGAAATGCGAGTTGATGTAGGTACATGAATTTGTTTGGTGAGACAATAAATGATGAAGATAAAAAGGTAAATTCTTATCCACCAAGAAGATCATGTGTCAGCTCATTTAAGATTTCGAGCTGACATATAGTGTCTATGAGCCTACCTATACTGAACCAGAGAGAAGAAGAATAAAATTCAATTTATGAGTCGGCCGACATGTATCATGTGTCGGCTCATACTGAATGAGATTTCTTGAAAAAAATTTAAAATTGACAATTTATGTGTCGGCACATGCATCACATGTGTCAGCTTATACCGACTCAAAATTTTCCAAATATCAAAATCATTTGACTCAAAGAGTACAATTTTGTGACACTTTGTAGATGATATCAATGATGAGTTACAAATTATGCATGTGTGATTTTTATATGAGATGAATGTTTGGACAAATTTTTTATTATGTGCATCGAACAATTGCTACATGCCAATGAATACATAAACCACAAAAGACTAGAAACACGTATTTTCACAATTAGTTTAATGTTAATGTAAACATGTAAATTGAAATAATCACAAATTCAATTAAATATTTTTGGAAGTAAACATAACACCAAATGGTGTCCAAAATGTATTTTTAGAGACTTTTAGAAATAGATAGATTTCAAAAATTGCTTACTCTTTGAGAGAAAATTGAAATGATACAACCTCACCGACAAAACAGAGGATGCACGAGCATTTCATGAGAATCTCAAGAACATGAGCATTAACAAATTCTTAGCGTGCCATGAACAAATATAACCAACACACCAACAATTTTATCTTCTCAAGATGTTTTTAAGATCATTTATCAAGTGAGTTTTTTGTTGATGATTCTTGAGGACAAATTCATTCTTTTTTCCACAAAGTCAATTAAATTTTGAATGTGTCACCTACTAATTATCCTGATATGTCTACACATGAATCCCCATAGCTTCTTCATAGAGTCAAGACAATTTTCCTGCAATTTTTAACAATCCAAACTAGGTACCCAATCCTTATTGGATCCTTGAGAGTTGATCGCGACTTTAAGAGTTTATCGGGTTAACTAACTGCAAGTGCACAATCTAATCACATAGTTTTAAAAGATATTGAACCCACATGGGCTAATAATCAAACTAATGTTATCTATCGTTACTATGTGAAACTAAGGCAAATGATTTTCTTGGATTAATAGAAACTAAAACTAAACTAAAGTTAATAGGAAAATATGATAATAAAGAGAGACTAAAGTGTGTATTCTGTGTGCCTCAGGGACTCTAACTCGTTGGCTTATACTGACGTTAGCAAAGTGTTTAGTAGAAAATATCAATTTAAAGACAATATCTCACACTCTCGTGGTTTTGAATAAAGCCACGTTCTTTGACCATGGTATTATGCTCTCGCTCGCCCATTCAAATCGAAGAACGTGTTTTGAAAACTAAAAAAGTTATAATTGACACCTAAAGTGCTCTCGCCCTCTTTAGGAATCGATGCCATGTTCATACTATTCGATTCGACTCCTACGCTCTCGCAGTGTCAGCTCGAAACTTAGTTAATTTCTCACTCTCGTGACAAAATCGTGTTAAGTAAATTCTCACTCTAGTGACAAAGCTAATTAAATTGAGTTTAAAACAAGACAAAAACAGATTTTTCCAATTAAATTGTCAAGCCAATGTTGTTACCGAGTCCTGCCGGAAATGACGGTTCACATACCTGACTCTAAGTAATTTAGCTAGACATGTTACTAATTAATGATGCATAAATTATTTTGGTTTTGATAAGGATCGACATAGAAGTTAAATAAAATAAGCAATAATTAGAAAGCAGTAAATATAAACCTATAAAGAAGAAATTAAAGAGACCTGAAACTTTCAATAAAATGCTGGTAGGCTTGTGATTCAAGAATACAAAAATCAATATTCCTTTCAATAGAGCTTCGCTAAAAAATCCTCGATACCTAAAACTAAGAATACTATCTCTATATATAGTGTTACAGGCCTGAGAAATCTCCAGCATCGTGTCAAAGGTGTAAGAGAAAATATAGGGAAGTGGCCAAGACTTTTTCCCATTCTGTTATGCACGTTCCAGCCTTCCTTGTGCATGGCGACCGCCATGGGGGTCATGGAGACTGCCATGAGTTTAAACTCATTAATTGACATGGCATGGAGGCCGTGGAGCTCACCATGGTGATGGTGGCATCCGCCACATCACCAGAAGTGAGATTCTGCATTCTTTTTATGCTCTTTCTTTACCTTTTCAAATTCTGATGCACATTTCTTCACAAATGACAAAGTACCTGAAACACATATATAAAGCAACAAGAAAACATGATAAAATAAAGAAGCAAAACTAAATAGCACGTGAATCAAGTTGGAAAATACGATGTATTTTCAAGTTATCAATGGTTAGTAACATAATTGTTTCACTTAGGTGACCATTGAGAAATATTATTAGATATTGAAAGTTTCCTAAGTTTACATTTGGAAATGGTGTGTCCCTTCATGCAATAGTAGTGACGAGTTATATTCCGAGAGATGTCACTTTTTCTTTTCAACATCATTTCAACAAATCTATATTTTTCATATGGTGGACTTAAAGATTTATTGAACTTTGTTGGATCTACAACAAAAGTAACCTTTGGTTGTTGAGCCTTAGTTATTTTTGCCTTAAGAGTTTTAACCTCTTTTTTCCAAATGTAACAAGTATCACAATCAAAGTTAAACGGATTGTCACCCATCTTATTTTTAACTTTGTGAATAACTACTAGAGTGTTCTTTAGAACTTCCATCTTGAGACTAAGCCATTGGATTGACTTAACTCACACAGATTAAATAAAAAATTACCACCGTGCTTTATTGTTTCTAGAGGAATGGGAAAAGAGAAAATAAACCCAAAAAGAGATGGGAGAGAATCTAGATACGGGGTTTGTTATGCAAAGAGAAGATATTAGCACCCTAAACATCTACGGTACTCTGCATGAATCTCTTTGATAATCTGTGTATTTTGGCTATAAATGGTGTATAGAAAATAAGATGGTGGAGACGAGAAAAGAAGTATTTTTTACAATTTTTGCACCCTCCGCGGTTGCAAACCTTTAGTGCCTACATACCACCTTCCGTGCAATAGGGATCAGGGTACTCGTAGTGCACCTCAAAAATTTTAAACACACGAGTGTGTTGGTTAATTTTAAGAGAAGAGACATCATCGTCATATCCGAGTGGAAAAATACTTACTACCCACGATTATGGGAAAGGAGAATTTTCATCATCTCTAAGTGGAGGACATAACTTGGATTTTAAAATCAACAAAGCCTCACTAGACACCCAAGTGGAAAATATCTCACTTCACTATATATCATAGAAGTATAGTAGCTCACATCACTACAAGAATCAGTAAGAGTCTAATCTTTTGAGAAAAGTTTTTAAAGTAAAAAGCAAAAGTGGAAAAATGGTTTGAATGAGGTTGATTGACTTTTAGTCTTCTCACAAAAAATGTCAAAGTATGATTAAATTGATTAAAGTTTAATTAAGAAAATATTTGTTTGAAAATGTATGGACCTAAGTCCAAGTTTATTATGAAAGTGGTTGAAGTTAGAAAATAAGAAGAATTTTGAAAGGAGGGAGAAGATTTTTGAAATTAAATAAGATGGAGGAGATGAAGGGACTATCCTAAATCATAAGGTAAAAGTTAAGGAAAAGAACCATCTAATCAACGAGAAGCCAACACCTGACATAAAGAAGTCAATGTAGAATTCTCATATTTTAGATTGAAATCAAGCAAGCAAAGATACTAAACCTCTCAAGAATACCAAGCTTCAAATGCATTAAGTCTTCACAAAAACTGGGTAAAGTAACAGCTGTATACATAGGAATTCTCAATTACAGACAAAGCACAAAATAAGAATAACCTACACACAAAGAAAAACAACCCAATGTCTTGGAGTAAACCCCAAGAACTCCAGACAAAATAACAACAAAGTCACAAGGTCCCAAGGGTATCAAGGCTTCTAGTCCTAAGTCCAAGAGGTCCATAACTCCATTATGCCAAGGATGGTAACCAAATAGTCCAAGTAACCTTAAAGTTTTTTAATGTTCAAGTTGGTTATTAAGTATCTTCAAGAAGAAAAGAAAGCTCAAGTGAGCAAAATAAAAAGTACATAAAGATAAGTGCTCAAGTGAGCAAAGATAAAATGACATAAAGATAAATTCTCAAATGAGAAAAGATGAAAAATAGCATGAAATGTAAATGCTAAAGTAAATGGTGCATAAAAGTAAAGGCATAAAATAAAGGGCATAAGGTAAAAGCACAAAGTAAAGTCAATTGTTAGTGAATTAGAAGTTATAGGTTATTTGAATGACCATATTGAAACTTGAATTTGAAAACTCATTAGAAGATTGATAAAATTAAAGCTTCTCAACAACAAGTTTCATTTGCTTTTTGTTAAGTATATCATTCATTTCAAGTACTCAAGGTAAGCATATATGATCAATGATGTTTAAATAATCAACTTAGACCAAAATTCATGAAAATTCATTAGAGGATTGATAAGATCAAAGCCTCCTAACAATGAACCTCAGGGTTATTGGATCAAAAGTTTCAAATTAACATACTTGGGCTTGCAAACATAGGTTTGGGCCATGAATAATAATTTCTCGAATCAGGATAAATGTAGCCCTATGTTAA